GTAAAACTCTTAACTACTAGCACTGCTGGAAACCAGACCAGCCCATGCGGGAAGCCGCGTAGACAAGCAGGGAGCAGCGTGATATCTATAATATCCTTACCTTGCACAGCCGCAGGACGTACTCGCTCAAGTCGCAGGATAGGGTGTTCGCATCCTATCTCTCCAGCTACTATGGAGACTCTGCTGACCTTCGCCTCTTTCACAAGGATCAGTCAGCTTCCCTTCAATGTACTTCGGGCGTCTGTCAAGGCGATGTTCCCTCCAGCGTACTCTTCTGCCACAGCATCCACCCACTCCTCCTCCATGTCGCAGACCTTTTCCCCTCTGTTCGAGTCTTGGGCTACGCTGACAAGGTCGTCATTGTTGGGCCACTCGAGTCTGCCGTTGCAGCTACCTCAGCTGCCGCTGCGCCCGCTGAGGACAGTGAGGAGGACATTTTGTATTACTTGGAGCGGTACCGTCAGCATGCGCCCAGCCTCCCATGATGTGTCCGCTGTCCCAGGCAGGCGGACATCCGGGCAGCGCCGGCTCCTTGTCGTCTATGCCCTTTCTCCGTCCGCGGCCTCTGCGGCGGCAGACGCGTCGACTGACAGCGGTCAGTCGGCTGCCTCCGGGTATCGTGTATGAGGGCGTTCACGTCCCCTGCCGTGCCGGTATCGCGGTGCTCGTTGCTTGCCCTTCTCTGCTTGTCTACGTGGCTTACCGCGTGGGCTGGCAGTGTAGGGTCTGGTTGCCAGCAGTGCTGGTTACTTTCGGTCTTGTGTTTTGTGCGTTTGCGCCGCTTTGTTGCTGTGTTCCGTACCCCGCTTTTGTTTCTGTGTGCTCTATGCCTGACGGGTTTGCTTGTTGCTGCTTTCTTCAGCTTGAGGCACTTGTTACCTTATGCGAGTAAAACTCAGTCATCCGTCAGCTACTGGCGGGATTACTCTTGGAGGCCTGCCTATCGGCACGGACGGTTTTCAATGATGCCAGTCAACTCCGAGCGAAGGTCTCCACCCTCAGCGAAGAACTCTCGAAGCTCGTGCTCGTCCAGCTGGTGAGGGCGAGCCATCTTCAGAAGCTCCGCTTCTTCCTCCAGGGGTCATCTCCGTTTCTCCCGCGGGTCCAGTCACAGATTCGTCGCTTTGACCTCTCTTGTCCACCTGGCCCTCGAGAAGTACCATCGCTGGCCATACTCGCAGTACCTCGCCGCGCACCCCGACCTGCTAGGTCACGGCAAAGGACGTGAACGCCCTCATACACGATACCCGGAGGCAGCCGACTGACCACTGTCAGTCGACGCGTCTGCCGTGCGCCCAGCCTCCCATGATGTGTCCGCTGCCCCGGCAGGCGGACCCCCGGGCAGCGCCGGCTCCTTGTCGGCGGCTGCCCTTTCTCCGTCCGCGGCCTCTGCATCCGTGGCCTCAGCCCGACGTGCGTCTCTGTCCTCTCTTGAGAGCAGGGGAACAGGAGGCTCGTGGAAATTTGTGACGGCAGAGACGCGCGCGGGTAACAGGGACTGGACCCAGTACATCGGTCGACTGTTCTAGGAAGGAGGCAGATCGCAGGGGCTGACAGAGACTGGAAGCATGCTTCACCCAGTTTGCGACCAAAGGCGCAATGGAGCGGCTTGGAAGGTATGCTCCCTATCCTGCCTTGCTGCAAGAAGCTGACATGCCATTGCGACGAGGAGAAACAGGCAGGGGCCTGCAGACGCGGATCTCCCTTCGAGGTGACTGGTTGACCTGACCTAAAGCTGTGTTTGCTGAAATGCTTGCAGCCCCAACAAGAAGCGCAGGAAGGATTCCGAGCCTCTGTACGTCTTCTGTTCCTCCCTCGCCCTCTCACGAGACTCTTCAGGAATCATCCCAGCAGTGCGGCTGATCAGCGCTTCCTGCCGTTGGCTGGAGTGGCCAATCTCTCTGCGTCTTTAACTGCCATTGCCAACTGATGGAGCTAATTGATGTCGGCTGAGTGTAATGATTTTAGCGTGTGATATAGCAAGACACGACGTGTGTTGGTGTAGGATAGTAACTTAGTGTGATATGAGTATGTATTTTAAACAAGTGACCTGCTTGCCTTCTCATTTCCTCCCGCTCAGGCGACATATACGCGCGCAACTGCACGAACAGCTACATCTGCAGCCCAAGCCAATCAAGATCTCTACCTCTTCTACGAGGGAATGTAGGTGGAGCCCTTCAAGACTACTAGAATGAATATGGAGCAGATTTCGCTGCAGGGCAACAACTCTGTTATCTGCCTTATTCTTTAGACTCTATCGCGACTCTTGGCCATGGATCTCCTCCAAGGTAGAGGCTCCTCCCGCTACTCCCCTCCTTCCTTCCCCTTCCTCTTCCTCTCCCCTCCCACCTGTCAGCCGCACGAGTGCGTTCCCGCAAACCATCGCAATACCCCCTCTTCCCTTGACCCCACCCCCATACTCACCCTCTCACCCCCTCACCCCCTCACCCCCTCACCCCCTTCCTTCCCTCCAACCACCCCACCCCACCCCACCCCACAAACAGGCGGTACCGCAGGGGGGCAGACAGGGGTGGTAGGCCCGGGGGCCATTCATAAGAGCGAGGACGCGGGGGATGGCGGCAGACAATGAGGGTATTCCGACCCCTCAATCCCCACTTGAACCCGAGCCGCAGCAGCATGCTTGCGGGCGCCACCAGCTTGGAGCAGATCCGCAGCTCCTTCAGCCCCGCCGACTACATGCTGCTCATGCAGCACACGGATGCGGCGATACAACAGATCGACTCCTTCTGTGAGCAGGCACGGAGTATGCAGGGCTGGGGCCTCAGAGACCCGCACATGGCTCAGGAAGCTCGACTGCTCCTCTCCTCCCTTGAGTCCAGTCACAAGATCATCGTCCGCTTGTACAGCCAGGCTGCCGCCTCCTGTGAGACATCTGAAGCTCCCCTGAGGAAGTGGTGGACCGACTGGTCCTCGCTCTGCTCTCAACCCGCTGCCTCCTTGCTGCAGCGCTACACTTCCAGTCGGAGCAGCATCCTCACCACAAGGACGCTGCCGACCTTCTACACCAAGGGCATGACGATCATGCTGGGCTGCCTCCGCAAGAACGGCCTGAGGGTGACGGAGGAGGTGCACCTGGTGCGTGACAGCGAGCAGCATGACCATGAGCCCTGCCTGGGCTTCACCTACCTGATGACTGCAGGAGACCAGCGCACGGCCCAGCTCTACGACGAGGTGATGAAGCTGCGGCGGAAGCAGGGAGCCGTCAAAAGCCTGTTCCACAGCGCAGAGTACAGCGCGGAGCTTGACGATTACATCGCCACGCAGAAGCGCATCTCGCGCTATGCCAGCAGCACGGTCGACATGGCCCAGCCCTACATGCAACAGCTCAGGCAAGACATGAGACACAATCAGGAGCTGTGGGGCGACCGATGGAACCTTGACGTCTCATTCATGATCCACGACGAGCAGAGCAGCGCGGCTTCTGCCTTGCGTTTATCAAATTCGACGACGACGAGACCCTCCAGCGCTATGCTCAGGCCATCGACATGCTGCGCAAGACCGACAGGCTCCCCGTCAACGCTGTCGCCTTGATCGCCTCCATCCTCATCCCTCACTATGACTGTGACAAGGTCAAGGCAGTGACATGTTTACTGGTAGAGTAAAGCTCTGCTGCTTCTCGCTGTGGCGCTGTGTGCATGCAGGTTTAGCTTGCTCCTGCTTTCTTTTGCTTGAGGCACTTTTTACCTTGTGCGAGTAAACATCCTAAACATCCTCTGGTGCTGCTCAGTGCTTGTTTCGGGCTGTTGTCGCTCCATCTCTCTTCCTCGTTACCTTCCTCCTTTCAAGCCTCCGGCAGGTGCAAGGGCTCCTTCCATTGCTCCCCTCCTTTCTCCCCTTCCTCTTCCGCCCCCCTCCCACACAAGTGCAACCAGACCTATCGAGGACGCAATGGAGGCCGGCTTCGCTGAGCATCGCCTTGACTGTACGAGTAAGGTTGTCATGCCATGGAGATAGCAGTCGAGCATCTGAGCATAGCGATGCGGGAAGGCCTTGAGGGGGTAGTAGCTCGAGACTCGCATCGGAGAGTGGCTCAGGTCCCGCTCAGGAAAATGAGCGAAGATGGTGGACTGCAAGACCCGGGCCTGCGACTTGAGCGAGTACGTCGTGCGGCTGTGCAAGGTGAGGCGAGTAAAACTCTTAACTACTAGCACTGCTGGAAACCAGACCAGCCCATGCGGGAAGCCGCGTAGACAAGCAGGGAGCAGCGTGATATCTATAATATCCTTACCTTGGACAGCCGCAGGAGGTACTCGCTCAAGTCGCAGGATAGGGTGTTCGCATCCTATCTCTCCAGCTACTATGGAGACTCTGCTGACCTTCGCCTCTTTCACAAGGATCAGTCAGCTTCCCTTCAATGTACTTCGGGCGTCTGTCAAGGCGATGTTCCCTCCAGCGTACTCTTCTGCCACAGCATCCACCCACTCCTCCTCCATGTCGCAGACCTTTTCCCCTCTGTTGGATAATGCTTGAGCGATTCTCTACCGTCGCGTGAGGACTCCTGCACTTGCCCTCTCCTCATAGCCTGGACGTTCACTGCTCGAGATCTCTCCGTGCCCAGAAGCATCCTCTGGCGACCTTATTCGTTGAGGCGCACGACTTCGTTCATAATGCTGGAGCGATCCTCTAACGTCGTGTGAGGGCTCCTGCGCCGGCTGCTGATGACGCAGGACGCCCCCGGCATCTGTGGTACACATCCCTGGTTTGCGCGCTCTCGTCGACTCGTCTCATGAGCACTTCATTCCTCCGCCTGCTCAGCGCAATGTGACCCCTCTTGTCATGCGCGTCTTCCCTCGCCATGTGCATGCTCGCGCTGCGCTGACCGATCAGCAGCGTGATATCCTTACCTTGCACAGCCGCACGACGTACTCGCTCAAGTCGCAGGCCCGGGTCTTGCAGTCCACCATCTTCGCTCATTTTCCTGAGCAGGACCTGAGCCACTCTCCGATGCGAGTCTCGAGCTACTACCCCCTCAAGGCCTTCCCGCATCGCTATGCTCAGATGCTCGACTGCTATCTCCATGGCATGCCGATCTGCCAGTGTCCGACGAAATGTGGTGGATGTCAGCGCGAGCTCGATCCCTCCGTTGCTGCGCATCATCTCCAGACCTGCAAACGCCGATCCTCCAAGCTTCCCACGGCGCATGACAAGGCTTACTCGTACGATTCGGTCGATGCTGAACGAAGCTGGTCTTCAGAGCGTCATCGATACAGTCGGGGATCCTCGTTCTCGACGGCAGGTACCCTCCCATCCTCATGGCCGCACTGGCAGATGAAGGGCGATATCCACATTCCTGGAATCCGCGATCGAGGGTCCGAGCAGTACGAGGGCTTGATGGCGGACGTGACGTTGGTCCACCCTTACATTGGTAGCTCTGCCGACCTGACCAAGTGGGGGGAGGTCAACCTCGACGCCCTCCATGTTGCAGCGTCTGAGAAGATTCGCAAACATCGCGCTGCATATGCCATGACTACTCCTCCTCGAGCGTTCATCCCTCTTGCCATCTCGACGGACGGTACCCTGCATCCTGACACCCTCCGCTTCATCTGGTATCTCGCGGACATCATTGCTCAGCGCTCAATGCCTCTTGAGGATGCGGCGTTTGGTCGGCACTTCGTGCCTGATGACGGCCCTGCTGCTGAGGTCTTGGCTCGCAAACGCGCCGCCACCTATCAGCGCCTCACCATGCAGCTGACGCTGGAGGCGCTCTTGTCTGGTGCGAGGCGCATGACGCCCTTGCGGGCGCAAGCACTTCTCGAGCTGCTCTCGAGCCAGAGGACAGCTCCTCCTCGGACTTTGTCGAGTCGCCCGAGGAGGAGTCTTCGCCGGAGGTCTCCGACTCCGATGGGGGACACCCTTCGAGTGGCCCCGACGATCGGCGCGGAGCTGGCGAGGCGTCTCCGTCCCTCACTGTGACGTCGGGTGCCTCCGGAGAGCTCGACACCACTGGGGTGCTTGCTGCTGGTCCGAGCTCGCCTGCTTCCTCCCCGGCATCGGTCGGGTCACGCCGGTCCTTGGGCATTGCCGCGGCGTCGCCGCCGTCAAGGGCGGCTACCACTGACTCGGCTACCGCTGACTCGGAGGCTAGCGAGGAGGACTACCTCGAGCGGTACCGTGTTCATGTGTCCAGCCTCCCTCCGTCCGCTGCCCCAGGCGGACCCCCGGGCAGCGCCGGCTCCTTGTCGGCGGCTGCCCTTTCTCCGTCCGCGGCCGCCCGCTTTGTGGCGGCAGCGGACGTCTCGACTGACAGTGGTCAGTCGGCTGCCTCCGGGTATCGCGTCTAAGGGGTTTTCTTCCTCCTGCATGCTCCTGCTGCTTGTTGCTTGATTGCTTGACCCTTAGGCTGCTTGTCTGCGCGGCTTCGCGCTTGGGCTGGCGCTGCCGCGTCTGGGTGCCAGCAGTGCTGGTTCTTTTCGGGCTTGTGTTTTGTGTGTGTTTGTGCAGCTTCTCGCTGTGGACTGTGTGCCTGCCGGTTCAGCTTGTTCCTGCTTGTTCCTGCTTTGTTTTGCTTGAGGCACTTTTTACCTTCTGCCAGTAAATCCTACAGTGAGGGACGGAGACGCCTCGCCAGCTCCGCGCCGATCGTCGGGGCCACTCGAAGGGTGTCCCCCATCGG